CATCACCAGGGAAATCTACAAGGGTCTTCAACATTGCTAGACCGGCGCTGCCTGCCCCGACAATGGCGACCGACTTAGGGCCATCGTACAGGTCTACGTCTTGGTGAGGGTTCAGTCCCGAAGGCCACTGTCGCAGGAGAATGTAAGTAGTGAATGAGAGAAGGAGCTGACGTAGGTCAAACATCATAGACTCGAACAGCCGAAATACTGCTGGCAAGGAGACGACCAATTCATTCTCTTTATAAGTACCTCGCCAAACGCTTGCCATACGAAAATTTCGACCGCTTCCAAACCGAATAAGCGGATCCCTTTTGAAGGCAACGTAAGTGCCTCCACATTTACGCAATAGCTACGCCCAGGACAGCAGTTTGCTATCTTCTCGTGAGAGTTTGCAGGGTGCTGATAGTGCGCTCATTGCAGGATATAAGGCTATCATACCTGCAGGTGAGCATGAGGCACTGGGCGGTGTAGATACAGTGACCACCGAGTTGCAAACAGGCGAGTTAATTACCCAAGAGAGAGGTGAGGCGTTGCCTGAGGTGACTAATGTAGTCACCGTTCTTCCACTCCAGAAATGAGCGCATCGTTGCGCCCAGCTCATAGCTAGCCCGAAATGCGTGAAGACCAGCGTCGCTGAAACCGTGAGCGGAGGTCCCGCCCTAATCAATTCTAAGTTGGACAACCTGGGAGGGATTGAAGTTAGACGCCCATAGCTTGTGAATTCAACAAGTGCAAACAAACATCCCATTGAACCAGGCACTTGTCACGGTCGCACCCATCCAGGTCACATACGAGTTTCTCCGGTCATTTTTGTCGGGAGCATGGCAGGTCTGTCATTCAGGAGCGTCGGGCTCCAACATGCTATCCGACGAAGTATATCCTCTCCTCAGTCTCTCGCCATCCAGCGGAGGACCTTTACCTCGTCCTCGTCGTCCTCGGCTGCATCACCCGTGCGAGCCACTTGTTATACAGTGCTGTTCGCCCTTTCCGCTGGCCTTTTCACCGCATACTACTTTGATGCACGCTCTGGGATACACCGCTACGTCCTCACTCCCATCCTGAGGTATACGTTTGATGCCGAGACCGGACATAAGATAGCTGTCAAGGTACTGAGAGGTGGGCTGGCGCCTCGGGATCCTGTGAGGGATGATGATGCCCTGCGGTCTGAGGTGGGACAAAATTTAAATGCCCGGGGCTATCACTGATGCTCATATGACGCGTATACAGATATTTGGACAAGAGATATCAAATCCCGTTGGCCTGGCTGCTGGCTTTGACAAAGAGGGAGAAGCAATAGATGGTACGTGAAGTAGTTGTTCGTCGTAATACTGGCCTGACCGCTGTCAGGTCTGCTTAACCTTGGTTTCAGCTGGGTTGAAATCGGTAGTGTTACGCCAAAACCACAGGTAAGGGTGCTACGTTGGGAACAGTCAACCTGGAGTACCTGGCGTTTTCTTTTTCCATGGCTCGTTCCGATTGCTGACCTAAGGCTTGAACAATAGCCAGGAAACCCTAGACCACGCGTTTTTCACTTGCCTGCGGACTCTGCACTCATAAACCGATATGGCTTCCCATCCCAAGGCGCCTCTGCAGTTCTATCACGTTTGCGAGCCCGAATACCCACTTTTCACGAACCTGATGAATCTACGACTGCTGCCCTACGCTCTGGCTCAGTCCTCGCAGTCAACCTTGGGAAGAACAAGACGTCTGCAGTGGAGTCTTCCGAAGACTTTGTGAACGGCGTCAAGACCTTTGGCTCGTATGCTGATGTATTGGTGGTCAATGTTTCGAGTCCGAATACGCCAGGACTTCGGTAGGTTTATTGACCTTCCTCGACTGTCAGATTACACTCATCTCGAAACTTTTTCAGGGGATTGCAAAATCGAGAGCTTTTAGAAAGCTTACTTGTGGACGTTGTGAAGGCCCGTAACGATCTCGAGCCATCTCCAGTCACGTCACGGCGGCCGCGTTTGGTGTTGAAGATAGCTCCTGACCTTCAAGAATCCCAAATCATAGAGATGGCAGAGGTTATCAGGAGCAGTGACATTGACGGCGTCATTGTCAGCAACACCACCATCGCTCGGCCATCCTCATTAACCGACCGTGAGCATCTTTGTTCGTTATTTACGCCACAGATGATAAACTTTTTCCCATCCTAACGACACAGTGAACAAGTCGGAAATGGGCGGCCTCTCGGGTAAACCTCTTATGCCATATTCCTTGCAAGCAGTGAAGACCTTGCGTGCGCATCTTCCCTCGAGCATACCGCTCATCGGGTGTGGTGGCATTAGCTCTGGCGCAGATGCGCTCGAATATGCTCGTGCTGGTGCCTCCCTGGTTCAAGTCTACACTGGCTTTGGATATGATGGCGTAGGAACCTGTCGGCGCATCAAGGACGAGCTAGTGTCGCTGCTCAAAGCAGAAGGCAAGACATGGAGCGCCGTCGTCAACGAGGCCGTGCAGACGTCGAGCTGGAAGCAACCAGAACTACCTACCCCGGTACAGGCTGGTGAGGCGACGATAGGACAACTCATAGAAGAGGCAGAGGATCTCAAGCTACTATTGGATCAGCTTGGTGAGAAGTTGAGTTGAGTGGCAGAGCAAACCGCCGTGGGAACCGCCGGGGCAGAACAGAAATGGCATTAATGGTATATAACGGGGCCGTCGCGCTTCTTCTGCTGCATCAGCGACTGCAAACATAGCACTATAGCGCGTTGTTGGGGTCGGTGCTTACATGTACAAAAATAGTTGCTGACCACTTTAGCTGACACTCATATCTTTGGAATTCCCAGCACGCCATTACAGTTCACGATGAGATCAGAACATGCACAAGACGGGCTTGTATATAAGAAGTGACCCTTCCTCAGTATTGGTTGCCGTATCGAGTGTCGAGCATGTTTGACCTCCGTCAACTCGTATTATCGTTCATAAGCTATGTTCTCCTGCAACACGAGGAGGGGAACTATCCTCAGGCCGTGTTCCAGCATATTACCCCTGTCAATAAGTCTGTGGCCATAGTGGGTGCCGGTAGCGCTGGGCTAGCGGCGCTGAAGAACCTTGTGGGCCTGCCAGACGAATTACGAAATGGTTGGGAGATAGTGCTCTATGAGCAACGTAGGGATGTTGGTGGGATATGGTACGGTTACTTCCTCTGGAGGACGATCAAACGCTAACGGATGCTTGACGCAGGCTCCCAGATCCTCAGCCCGTTCACCCACCAGACCTACCGGAGACACCACTGTACCCACTTCTCCACACCAACACTCCCGTCCCCACCATGACCTACCCAGGGTTCCCCTTCTCACCCGGAACACCTCTTTATCCAAGTCACGAATATGTAGAACAATACCACCAAGATTATGCGTCTCATTTCAACCTCATGCCGTATATCATGCTCAATCATACCGTTTTGTCTTCGTCGTGGATCGGAACGCCGGACAAAGGAAGATGGGAAGTCACAGTCCAGGACCATAACGGTCGCGAGATACACAAATCATTCGACCATGTGGTGGTCGCCAACGGACATAATCACGAACCACACATACCTATATATGCTGGCCAAGAGGATTGGCTGAGGAGTGGTATCGAGGGCGGTCGAACACGCGAAATCCTACATTCGATTTTCTATCGGAAACCGGAGCGATACGCGAACCAGACAGTCGTGGTGGTTGGGTCAGGGGCAAGTGGACGAGACGCTGCATCCCAACTAGCATTGCACGCTCGAAAGGTAGGTGGCACGTCTTGTATCCCAGACAGCTCTAGTTTAATAGACGCCAGGTTTACCATTCTGTCCGTTCTCTGTCGGACCCAGCGTCAGGCCCAGTAGAAATCAAGCCAGAGATCTCGCACTTTACCTCGGACGGTGTGGTCTTCACGGATGGTTCAACGGCACTTGACGTCGATTACGTGATTCTGGGCACAGGCTACGAACTCCGAGTCCCGTTCCTTGAACGTGGTGGGGAAGTGCTGGTCACGCCGAAGTCGAGTGAACCTGTTGACTATGCGTTAACCACCAACCTTCGTTACCTGTTTCCCCTTCACCAGCATATCTTCTCCTTGTCGAATTCGTATCCAACAAATGCTCTGGCGTTTATTGGGCTACCGATCCTCGTCGCCAATTGCCCCTCGGACGCAGCACAGAGTATCTACGCGGCGCACATCATCGCCAATGGGAGTTTGCTTGATTCCCGTGAGGAGCTTCTCCAAGAACTCGAAGCGAGCGAAGATAATTTACGGTCGAGAGGATATGATCCCTACTACATTGGCCATAGAATGGTTGACGGGTCAACCTTTGACTATCAAGATGGTCTCATCGATTACCTCAAGGCGAGAGGGGCCTTACCTGATGACGGCACGAGCTTTGTAGAGGGTTGGCGTAGAGAAGCAGGGAGATACCAGTATTTGAAGCGGGGATGGAAGAGGGTAGAAGAACTTGGCCAACAGCGCGAATGGCTTCGTGGAGTTGAAACAGAAGCGGAGTGGGCTGACATGATGACGAGATTGGACAGGTGGCAAGGGGGATGGGAGATGCAGCATGGGTTGGTGTTCCCTGAGGAGAGGATAATATTCTGAACGGGCTCAATGAGCGCGACCAGTGACGCGGCGTCCGGTAATTAGATTGTGTACGCCAATGTGTTTTTGCGTCACCGACCACCTAGAATCTGGCCCTGAAGGATATCGCGATGTTATAGTCAGCCAATCAAGGAGGTAGCTCAGCCTTCGACAATGATCTTGTTAGCGAGGCAAGCCGGCGCCGTAGGCTAGGCTCCAAGCGAACTTAGACAGTCGTTCTTTCCATAGGCCGTCGACAATCTTGGTTGGCACAGTAGATGCCTAGGCCAGTGGGTACAATACAAATCTCCCCGAGGCAAACTGATAGAGTAGGTCCTAAAGACGACCAGTCATTATTGAACGCAAGAGCAAGCAACTTGAAGGTAGTGGGAATATAAGCGAATTATGCATACACATGTGATATGGCGCCTCAGCCAGGAGAGAAATAAGGACAGATGGCCGAGCGGTCCAAGGCGCCAGACTAAGGAGACCAAGCCATCAGATGGCTAGTATATCTGGTCTCTTCGGAGGCGTGAGTTCGAATCTCACTCTGTTCAAATTTTTGCTCTCCTATAGTCTGATCTTTTTTTTTCTGAGTGGACTCGGGTGATCTACAGAACCTGCCATTTTTGGACGGTGACTTTAGTCAGCTTCGCGAATCGCCTCTTTTGTCTGGTTCTCATTGTCTGCCATCGCTGTGCTTGCCACTGCTTGAGGCTGTGGACACTGGCCATTGTGTATCATTTTGAGTATGTGTTAGCGTCCGGCTGGTTTATTTACCGGTATAGTTGTACATAAAGTCGGAGTCCCCCTCGTAAATGTCATCTACTACTCTATTTAATTCGTCTCTCTTGCTCCCACTCCACTTGGCCAGTGCTGTCTGGCCATTCCACGACAGTCAATTCTGTCCCCTCAGCTACAGTTTGAGCAGCCAATAATCTGGCACAATGTTCAAGCTATCATTTATTTTTTGGACGCCCAGGCATATAAAGATGCCTGGGGAGCCAAAACGGGCGAAGCGCCAGCGATCGAGAAACTTGTGAGCCACGCATATTCGATGATCGACTTGCAGACGAATCCTGACCCTGATTCTAGTGCTGGCGAAATACCTTCCCCGTGGCATAATCGTTTATCAGAAATCAGAAAGTCGCTCGAAGCCTCCGAGCGAACTGGAGCACAGATTTAGCAATTGTCAATACATCACCAGGGAATTGATCGACAGTGTCGAAGGACGGGATAAAGCGCGTTTGGGAAGTCGAGAAATCCAACTATAACGAATCGATCTGGACATTTTTCTTGGAACTGTCAGCTGTAGCATTAGAGGTAAACTGTCAACATAGCTAGTCAATGGATATATGTAAATTCAGACGGTCAGAGCCCGAGGCTTCGATGTGGCTCTTCGACGCTTCTCCTTCGGCTGCTTCTCATCCAGAATGACTTTCCCAGCCGCTCGTCGCTCTGCCAGCTCCGCCTCCACCTCTTCCAAATCATGTGCAGTCATTGCCCTCCTCCTTGCGACCGCTTGCAGGATCTTGTCCCTCCGCAGATAACCAGTCAAACGCCAGTGTTTGCTCCCCGCTAGTGACATCCGAGCCAGCTCCTTACTCCTCCACTGCTTGAGAATCTTGACACCAAACTTTTGGTCCATCCAATCCTCCCGCTCTTTCCTTTCTGCCTTGTCCATATCCTCCAAAGCTTGGGGATAGTAGAAAGGATCTACGAGACCGACTACAGCGCGTTTGTAGGTTCTATGAGCGCCAACTGGCCGCATACCAGCTTTAGTGCGGCGTAGAGGCGAGACGTAGTTGGCAGTGCGGATATACGTAGTTTTCACTCCGTAGACGGTATTGAGGTATGAGCGGACGTCGGTTTTGGTGATAGACTGAGGAATGCGGAAGGTAGCTTCGTACGGGTTGTACGCCTGGCCTTTCGGCGTGAAGTTTCGCACCATTCTGAAAATGACGTTCGGGAGGTAGATCTTCTGACCGACGACCTTTGTAACCAGCTCCCCCTTCTTCGCCCGCTCGACCCGCACACCACGGAGACGCGAACGCCTCGCGTTGAGTCTGTCCAACCACTCTGCTCGGGATTGTCCCTTCACTGTTCCCTGAGCAAGCTGACGCATGTACGTCGAGTGCTCGGTTGGAGTGAGGGCACTACCTGGTCTAGGGAGAAGCTCTGGTGACATCTTCTCGCGGCGTTCACGAACGGCCATAGGCGTCGAAGCCTCTCGCGCTTTTGCTGCATAGAGTGGGAGGGCGGATGCGGCTTTTCGAGGAGGGGGTTTCGTGGCGTAGAACCGCCGTACGACGTGTCCGAACGACTGCATGTGCGACATGGACTTGCCTCTGTATAAGTGAACTGCAGAAAATGTCGATGCGGTAAAATCCCCAAAATGTACACACCCATAGCCACGTGGCGTTGATACATCTGGACCCATTCACGTGACTTGCGCAGACCAAGCGTACCGTTAACGGTCAAGTGCGTGCCACGACGAGCTCGCCTCAGTTGACAACTAGCTTGAGGTAGGGAGCAATATTGACCGTATTCATTCTTTAGACTTGCTATAATCACAGCGGTCAACATGACTTTGTCGTGTTCCCGCTTTTTTCGTTTCCTTCGAGGAATATTCGCTCCGGCAGCAGCCATCATAGGGTTCTCCTGCCTCCTCACGTTCATCTTCATTCTTTACCAGCCTACACCTGGCCCTGGAATCACTCAGAGACTCGGGTGGCAGTCATGGGGTGCAGTGACGACTACCAACTACTATGAGCCTGGAAGTTCCCCAGAGGACGCCGAACATCCTGGGAATGACCCACAAGACGAGACATCGAATGCTCCCCCACCGGACACGGACTGGCAGAACATGGACTGGTGGAACACGACATATCCCGGGGATGACTCATTCGATGTCGCGAGTTACCCCACTGACGTCTGGGCACCCCTACTCCCTCATGATACTGGGTGTGAGTGTCGATATGAACTTTGTTCGGCTTATAGCTGACGCCGCTACTTAGTGTCGGAAATATCGATCACTCGATGTATAGTACCGGCTGGTCTTGTCGGTGATCTTTGCACCCCCGATACGACAGTAGAGCAGGATGCCATCAAAGGCAGATGGGTCCGTGTCGATCGCGATCTCAACAAACAGTCTGGTCTCTGGAGTTTGGTGAGGCTCCTATCGTCCCTTCATCCGAGGGTCACTCACGCGTAATTAGAATATATATTATAGACGCACGCGCCGTCTCGATATCCCCTTGGTCACCGATATAAAGCTCCTTCCCGCAGGGGAAGAACCCACGCCCCTCACAGATCCCTGGGTCAAAATTGAACATTCCATCCGTGACGGTGTCATGCGCACAGAACCAATGTTTCTGTGGTACAAGACTGGCAAGACACTGAGCGAGATGAGCGCAGAGGAAAAGCAGGACATGATTACCGAGGTCGACGTCCTGTTCGGTGAGGATCGTCCATGGTATGGCTTTGAGAAGCTCGATCCTGCGGTCACACCTGAGCAGGAGGGTCGCATGGAAAGTGTTTATGTTACATTCAGGAGAGGCGTTAAACGTAAGTCACATGTGCGATATACAGTATAGACCCCAACTAAATCGCCTCTGCGCAGCTGTTCCTCGCGCTCACCCACTCCACTTTTCTAAGGATGGCAAATTCAAGATTCTCCAGGTCGCCGATTTGCATTACTCCGTGTCACGGGGTGTTTGCCGGGAGACTGTACTCGACCCTTGTGTTGCTTCCGACAATCTGACAAATTCCTTGTTGGGCCACGTACTGGACGCCGAAAAGCCAGACTTTGTCGTATTCAGCGGAGATCAGCTTAATGGGCAAGGAACATCGTGGGACCCCAAGTCGGTACTCGCGAAATTCGCAGTAGAGGTCACAGACAGGAAGATACCATGGGCCGCCATATTCGGTAATCACGATGAGGAGGACGGGGACGTTAAGGAGGAGCAAGTGAGAATGATGCAGGCACTCCCTTTTTCGCTCGTCGAGAGGGGCCCGAAGGACATACATGGAGTCGGAAACTATGTTTTGAAGGTCTTGAGTGCAGATAGGTATGTTGTGTGTAATCATCTGCTACGGCGTGGCTGATGGCGGGTGTAGATCCAAGACTCATCTGTTGACGCTTTATTTCTTGGATTCTGGTTCATATTCCAAAGGGTATCTGGATTGGTTTGGCTCCTTCTTCCCCACCGAATATGACTGGATTCGCGAAGTAAATCTCTTCCTCGGCGTCTAGGTTTCGCGTGTTTAATTTGCCTTTCAGGACCAAATCAACTGGTTCCTTCAAGAGTCCGGGTCGATTTTGCCGATCGAGCGCCCATTCACGCCAGACACCGCCAAAGACCTGGACGACCTATGGAGTCGCCAAGCCGGACAGATCGCGCCTTCAACTCGCAAGCTTGCGAAACCAAACGCATTGATGTTCTTCCATATCCCATTGTAAGTTTGAGAGGCATCCTCGCTAAGATGCGACGACCAAAGCTCACGTCTCTTGATAAATTCCAGGCAGGAATCATATGGCGTTCCAGACAGAGACTCCCGCACAGGCCAGCCTTTAGACATCGGCCTACACGGGCTTGAAGGCCCCGGTGCTGCAAAGAAGAGTGATGGAATGTTTGAAAAAGGTCTGCTGAAGGCTCTGGAAAGCGAGCATCGCGCTGGGAGTGTCATTCCTGAAGTGAAGGTCGTTGCAAACGGACACTGCCATAGTAAGTGGCTTTGAATTTCTGAAGGTACGTTGATTGAGTTGCTCGCCAGTTACGGAGGACTGCAAGCGAGTCCAAGACGTGTGGTTGTGCTTTGGAGGTGGAGGGTAAGTCTCCGTACCTTGATCAAGCGCAGTTCCCCAAGACAAACCTTTCATTCTGCAGCTCTTACTCCGGATACGGCAAAGTCGGGTAAGCTCTTTGTCCTGTGTTCACCTGCGTGGTTTTCATCGAACACATATTCCCTCAGGTTCGACCGAAGATTCCGCGTCTATGACATCTCGGACTATGGTGAGACAATTAGGACGTACAAGCGCTCCGAACACGATGTCATCTTAAATGAGCTCGTCATTGCGGGTAACGGTGCTGCACCATACAACAAGCAGGCATAGTACTAGGGTGTTTGACATTCAGAGATTTTGTGTACGATATACTTTTGGGGAGCTGACGGTGGTTATACCTGGGGTGTAAGGAACACTTAATGGAGCTAGTTTCACATGGAGAGCTGCGCTTGAAATGAGTAGCACCCTTCACCACGCACCAACCCCTTGCCCCATAATGAACTGTGATTCCATTGCGTTTTGAGCTCCTGTTTCCGAAAATTAAGGGTCAGGGATTTGTTATTCGCGTTCCATAACTTTTTGGCGGGTGATATGATGAGATGTTGAAATTTGGAGACGCTTTCCCACAGGACCCAATTGTGGTCAGTGTCCGCGCTCAAGTGCTTCCATCCACCGGGCAGGAGCTCTTTGACTTGTTCTGTACAGTACGGTATATACATCAACGCTGGCTGCACTAATATTCTCTCTGCTAGCATGTCGTCCACGAAATCT